TCCATTGCACATAGGCATGCAGATGCACACACATTCCCAAAAAATCTCCAGAACACATAGCAAGACCTGCCTTGTAACAAGGCTGCCATATTGGAGAAGAAATACATGTTTGTGTCTGTGTTACTTTCTTGTAGTGTATACTCTTAGTGAACATGTTCCTGTGTGAGAAATTTACATGTCTATTTGGAAACCTTTTGTAGGGTCTGTGTTCAAAATGAAATACAGGTCTTGTCTTCCAATATCCTGCCTGGCTGCTAAAGGAGTCAATCTCAATCCTAGTATGTCACCATTATTCTAAAACAATATGGATTACCTTTCCTCTATATGGCTCTCCTGGAAGCAAAAATAACATCTCAGCTACCTTTCACTTAAGAAATACTTTCTTTTTTATTTATTTATTTATTTTTTGACAGAGTGGATAGTGAGAGAAAGAGAGAAAGAAATACTACTTTCATTTCATTTTATTTTCTGTTTTATTCAACAATTAGGATTTAAAATGATTGGGTTACTATAGATCAGCAAAAAGGTATATACATTACTTTTTAAAAATTACTTATTTGTTTGAAAGAGTTACAGAGAGGCAGAAGCAGAGAGAGAGAGGTCTTCCATCTACCAGTTCACTCCCCAAATGGCCACAATGGCCAGAGCTGCACTGATCTGAAGCTAGGAGCCAGGAGCTTCTTCCAGGTCTCCTGTGCAGGTGTGCGAGCCCAAGGACTTGGGCCATCTTCCACTGCTTTCCCAGGGCATAGCAGGGAGCTGGATCAGATGTGGAGCAGCTGGAATTTGAACCAGTGCCCATATGGGATACAGGTGCTGCAGGTGGCAGTTTTACCTGCTCCGCCACAGTGTCAGCCCCTCAGAGCTTTTGATACATTACTGTTGAGCACTTCAGATTCCATGCATTCTTCCTACAAAGAGAAAAAAAATGGAGTCTTTCAGTTAGGGAGCAGTGAGGCAAATACACTAATGCGTGTAGCACAGGGTAGTATGGAGAGCAATGACAAGTATACTACAAATGAAAAGTTCCAGCTAGGGTGGGATTATGAAAATCAATTACCTTCTTAATGTTTCAGTTTCTTCATCTCTAAAGTGACTCTTTTGGACATGTTAGTCTGCCATACCCGTAGCTGGCTTGAAGCTGAAGCTGGAAGCCAAAAATGTAATCCAGTTCTCCCCCAATGTGGACTGTAGGAACCTTTAGCCATCACCACTGCCTCTCAGGGTCTACATTAGTGAGGACTGGAGGGTCCAGAGTTGGGAATCAAACTGCAGTGCTCCAGTATGGACACAAGCCTCTTAACCACTACTAAAAGCCTGCTGCCAGTCACTTGTATATTTTTGAAGTGTATGAAGGACTGGTCAGATTTTGAATGGTAAAGCTGATGGAACAGGAAGTCTTCCAAGGTAAGAGAACAACATTATTTAAGGAACAAAAGAAAAAAATAATGTAAAGTGTGAGCACTGTGAACTATTAACATCAGATCAGTAAACTAATGTCAAAGTGGTGCAATTTGATTATCCATGTCTTCCCCTAGTAAACAGTTCCCCTTATCTATGTCCTTTGTGCAAATGTGATGCCTAATATAAAATTGGTGCCTAATGACTATGAGAGGAAAGGAAAACAGAAGAAAGAAAAGATAAGAAGGAAGAAAGTTGGTTCAGGAAATCCTATTTTAGCAGATGCCACAGTGTTTGACTGAGATCTCTGTATTTAATGCCCTTTCGTATCTGCACAAGTCTGTTTTGAAACAAAACTGTTTACTTCAGATACTTTTATTATATACTGTACTTGTGCTCCAAGGGCTTCCACCTGTGATAGCTTGTCCCCCTGTTGTATGTACATAATATCATAACTTATCATTCTTGCCCAGCCAGTAAATGCATTGACTTGGATAGTGCCACTTTGTGGATAAGCTCTTATCTATTTCCTCAGTTTTTACTGCAAACAGTTAAATATCTTATGCCTGAAAAACTTACTTATTTATTCAAGATATGCTTATTAAATACCTCTCAAAGATTAGGGAATGCATACACACTGTATATAGTATCATGGGGGAATCCTGTACTAAATAATTATACAATAATTAATTAATTGCAATAGTGACAAATGCTTTAAAAGGAAAGTATAGAATGTTGGGAGATAAACCTAATCTGTAAACTAATGTGAAGGGATGAATTCAGGAAAGTAATTTAAATTTTTAAATACCTTAAATATTTCTCAGGGTGGATTTAGTAAAATGGTTAAGATGCCATTTAAGACAGCTGCATCCTGTATGAAGTGCCTGGGTTCAAATACCAGCTCTGCTCCTCATTTCAGCTTCCTGCTAATGTAGACCATGGAAGAAGAAGTGATGGCTAAAGTACTTGGGTCCCAATCACCCATGAGAGAGACCCAGATGGAATTCTAGCCTCCTGGTTTCAGCCTGGTCTAGCCTGGCTATTGTGGTCATTTGGGGAGTGAACCAGTGGATGAAAGATTCTCTCTCTCTCTCTCTCTCTCTCTCTCTCTCTCTGTCACTCTGCCTTTTAAATTTAAAACAAACAAACAAACAAAAAAACCAAAAAAAAAAAAAAACCTGTTCTCCATTTCAAATATAGAAAGATAAGATTACTTCATAATTTATCAATTATATTCTAGAGATATATAAATTTGGAAATATAGACTTAATCCACAGAAGCTCAAGATCTTTAGAAATCTTTAAATAGATGACTGAAAAAGGAGGTATTACTTGGCCAAGAATGCATAGTTTGCTGCTGGCAGAGTTAGGACTTTAACACAAGTCTGCTTATCTTCCTATTAACTCTCCTCAATTACTTGAAAAACAGAGAAAGAATGTATCAAATATAGATCAGCTATAGCCATATAAACTGTGAAGTGGCTACTCGGTACAAACTTGTGTTTTGGGTAGAGGACAGAGTTTACAGAGTAATGAATTAGGGAAACACAAACATTAAAGGAAATACACAAAATTCACCTTATTAGGCTTTTACATCTAGTTGTAGTTAAACCTCACTAAATAGACTAAAGTGAGAGATAGTTGGAATTAAGTGAAAATATTTTTTTAAAAATATTCTTTAAATAGTCAGCACCATGGCTCAATAGACTAATCCTCCGACTTGCGGCGCCGGCACACCAGGTTCTAGTCCTGGTCGGGGCGCCGGATTCTTTTTTTTATTATTTATATTTTTTTTGACAGGCAGAGTGGACAGTGAGAGAGAGACAGAGAGAAAGGTCTTCCTTTGCCGTTGGTTCACCCTCCAATGGCCGCCACGGCTGGCGCGCTGCGGCTGGCACACCGCGCTGATCCGAAGGCAGGAGCCAGGTGCTTCTCCTGGTCTCCCATGGGGTGCAGGGCCCAAGCACTTGGGCCATCCTCCACTGCCTTCCCGGGCCACAGCAGAGAGCTGGACTGGAAGAGGGGCAACCGGGACAGAATCCGGCGCCCCGACCGGGACTAGAACCCGGTGTGCTGGCACCACAGGCGGAGGATTAGCCTAGTGAGCCGTGGCGCTGGCCTCCAGTAAGCTTTTAAAATCGATTTTTATTCATGTGTGTTACACAACACATGAAGTATTCTGACTACTTTGCAACCTGAGTGGTCTGTCAATTAGGTTAAACAAGGTTACTGATATTTTGTTCCCACATGTCCTTTCCCTTTCATCATGGCTAATATAATAGCTTCAGGTGAACAGCATGTAATTCTTCCTATTTTTTTTACTTTAAAAATTAGGAATCAGTATTATTTAAGCCAGTGATTTTGGAATTAGTTATTTTGAAAAGTAGAAGTATCAACCATCAGAGAACAGGTCACTCTTGAATAGACATCAGAAAGAGCACTTAAGAAAATGATGAGCATATACTCTGCCTTAAATAAGCACATAGTAAAATGGTGAAAAAGAAAATATGCAGTTAAACTATATGGGGGACAGTGTTGTAGCAGAGCAGGTTAATCCACCACTTGCTACATCAGCATCCCATATGGGAGTGCTGGTTGAGTTTCAACTGCTCTGCTTCCTGGTATTATGCCTGGGAAGGCAGTGGAAGATGGCCCAAGTACTTTGGCCACAAACACTGGAGACCAGGATGGTGTTCCTGGCTCCTGGCTTCAGCCTGGCCCAGCCTTGGCCATGTAGGAAGTGAAGCAACATAATGGAAAATCTCTGCCTCCCATTCTCTGTGTCTCTCTGCCTTTTAAATAAATAGATTAAAAAAAAATAGCCATATGAAATTTCCAGTTCTGTAGTCACAAAAAGTCAAGTGTGTGATTTTATGTAGTTCAACCTAATACACAAATGACCAAAAGGGGAACCTACACTATGATATAGAAAGGTATGGGTATTTATTTATTTATTGTAACTCATTTGACAGAGTTAGACAAGGTATGGGTATTTATTAAGTACATATAAACTCACTTGAAAAGCTAAACATGTTCTAAAAAATTTCAACTTAGGTAACTTCTGTTATCCACACTTTATAACTGTAGAGAGATTAGCTGATGACCAAAACTTAGTGGTGTGAAGTAAGGTTTACCAAGATGTTTACTTTTAGCCTCTCTCTGTACTGACCAGGGGACTATTTCCTAGTCAGTCCTTAGTCCCAATCCTAAAGTCTCCAAGTTTATCAGGGGGAAGAGAGAAAGGACTAATAATTTAAACAAGTGTCAGGTGCTTTGCTAGTTTATATTTTATTGCATTTCATTTTCATAATAACAATATAAGACAAATGTTTCTATTTTACAGTTGAGAAAGCTGAGAGGTAGAGAGGTTAAATAACTTACACAAAGTCATACAGTTTGTAAGTAGTACAATTAGAATTCAAACATTGTCTTTTACTATGCATCATGTAGGTTTGTATACTTATTTATCTGCTGTATACTGAAAGTTCCTTATTTCATAATAAATTCACATAGGAATAAAAATAAGGGGATTATCATTGATTTTCTTTTCTTTTTAAAGAATAGGTAAAACAAATTTGAATCTTTTTTCTTTCTTTTAAGGATGAACGTGAAGCCAGAGAAAATGTTAAAAGAGAGCAAGATGAGGCCTATCGCCTTTCACTTGAGGCTGACAGAGCAAAGGTAGGTTTAGTCAAGGTACTTCTGGGATATAAAGAACTCAATCCTAAAAGTCTTTCATTATTTAAGTTCCAACCCTTTTATCACTTGATCCCTAAAAATATTGAGTTTGCAATGTAGGAAGCTAGATTCCATTAACCGAAAGATTATAATTCTGTCTGTAGTTCTTAAAGCATAGTTCATTTTGAGAAAATAAAATTTGTCAAGAATCATTAACAATGAAAAACAAAAATGAACCTAGTGTCTATTTTGTTTCTTGTGATAGAACCCAGCATTTTTTGAAATGTTCTTTCGGTGGTTTTAATGGGCAGTCAGAGTTGAGAATCACTGATGAGTGCTTCTTGATCACTTGCTTCTTTTTTTGGGCATTGAAGAAGGAGATGAAATTGAATAAGGCAGTTTCTGCTCTGAGAGGAAGACTCACAAAGTGGTAGAGTGGTCAAGAACACAAGGGGTTGTAACATAAAGCGAGGATCCAAAGCGTCATAAGGGAAGCAGTACATTCTGTGGCAGTTCAGCAAGCAGGAGTTTCAGTGGAAAATTTTTTCCAACTTTTTTGGAAAACCAGGAAGTGAGAATTTACTGGAGAATGTTTAATACATGAACTAAACAGAGAAGGAGAATGGGAGGGGAGAAGAAATGATATAAGTGAGTGTCTACAGCCATACCACCCTGAACACGTCTGATCTTGTCTGAGTGAATGCCAAGAAGTCAGAAAGCATGGAGGTGCATAGAGGTGATGTGAATTAATTTGGCTATGGAAAAAAAGAGCAGAAAAGGCCAGAAAGAAAGAAAAAGGAAGAGCCTGAAGGACCTAAATATCAACATTACACAGAGCTAAGAAAGGTGTTCGAGTAAGAACTCAACATGCTTAGAGAGCTGTGCTTCGTTACGGGTTTCATTTCCATTCTTGTTCCTGAGAAAAACATTCCATTACCACGGTGTACCTCTGGGTCATATTGGGAGTAAGCCCTTTGAATGTAGCCAGTTCCTTTTTTTTTTTTCCCCTTGAGATAAACAAGTACTTACTGATTGCTTGTGCCCCCATTATTTTATCAACAGAGAGAAGCTCATGAGAGAGAGATGGCAGAACAATTTCGTTTGGAGCAGATTCGCAAGGAGCAAGAAGAGGAACGTGAGGTAGGGCATAATTTTAAGAAAAATTATTTAAAAACTGAGTTTATTTCCACTGTATTCAATATCAAGGCTGGCTGTTAATATTTCTTGCAACTTACTTCTTCCTACTTTTCCTATACTCATTTTGATGTAGAAAACTAAACCATTCCTTAAAATAATCATTCCTGATCTATTATATGGAACGCTTAGAAAATTTGCTCTTGTACTAGATTTGTAGTTTTCTGTTGTTTTCAATTCTGTTTCCTTTTGGTTGCCTGAGAAGTGCTTCCCATCCTTCTTGGATATTGTCTCATTACAAGAATATAAACATTGTGTTTTCCTGTCCCTTCCCCAGGCTTTACCTGCTGAAGATCAGTTACTTCTGCATCATCTTACTTTTGGTCCTTAAATACAGGAAATCCATTTAGCATGGGTTTTGTTTTTGCATATCATACCCATACCAGTATAGAGAGTTTTTTATTCACTCATTTTGCAAACATTCTTTGAATACTTACTATGTATGCAAAATCTGTTAAGGAATAGTGATATAGATATGGATACTGCTCTTTAGGAGTTCATACTCTTATAAAAATAAAATTATAGCACTATATGTAAAAATTAGAGAGAGGCAGGCCTAAAGTCCATTGGGAACAAGGAAAAGGCATAATTCAGGATGGCTTCATGGAAAATGACTTTGAGAATTCTATACATGAGACTAATGGCAATATTTACTTTTTTAAAAATATTTTATTTATTTATTTGAAAGGCAGAGTTACAGAGAGGCAGAGGCAGAGAGAGAGAGAGAGGTCTTCTATCCACTGGTTCACTCCCTAGAAGGCAGCAACGGCTGGAGCTAGGCCCATCCAAATCCAGGAGCCAGTAACTTCTTCCAGGTCTCCCACATGGGTGCAGAGACCCTAGGGCTTGGGCCATCTTCTACTGCTTTCCCAGGCCATAGCAGAGAGCTGGATCTGAAGTAGAGCAGCCAGGACTTGAACCAGCACCCATATGGGATGTGAGCACTGCGGGCGGCGGCTTTACCTGCTATGCCACAGCACCAGCCTAGCAAGATTTACTTAATAAAAAAGGAGGCCATATTTTTTTTCAGGATTTATTTTGTTTATTTGAAAGGCATAATTACAGAGAGAGGAAGATCTTTCATCTGCTGGTTCATTCCCCAAATAGCCACAACCCTGACCCATGCCAGGAGCTAGGAATTCCATCCAGGTCTCCACATGGGTGGCAGGGCCCAAGCTCTTGGACCATCTTCAACTGCCTTCCCAGGCACATTAGCAGGGAGCTGGATCAGCCTTCCCAGATGCAGTTACCAGGGAGTTGGATCAGAAGCGGAATGGCTGCAACTGGAACCAGAGCTCCAATATGGGATGATGGCATTATAAGCAGCAACTTAACCTGTTGTACCACAAAGCCAGCCACAAGGAATCAGCCATCTAACATGTGACAGAATGACCTGGAGGGGGCCCTGACTGTAGCTGAGGAAAACTCCATTAGTCATCATTCTTAGTCAAGGATACCACCTCTTCTATTTATTCAGCTTTGGTTTTTGAATAAGAACTGTGCTGAGTACTGTGAAAGAAACAAAGAATAATAAAATATTTTCTGCAAGAAGAGATTATACCTTAGAGAGAAAGATACATGTCTACAAGTAACAGCAAATCAAGAAAAATGCCAAAATGCTTAGGAGAAGTAAAAGAATAATAAAATATTTTCTACCTGCAAGAAGAGATTACACCTTAGAAAGATACATGTCTACAAGTAACAGCGAATCAATAAAAATGCCAAATTACTTAGGAGAAGTAAAAGCAAAATACTTAGGGAGCTCAGAGGAGAAGAAAAATGTTGTACAATTTTGATTATCAAACAACATGATAAAAGTAATACTTGAGTCAGATCTTACAAGATGTATGAACTCTGATTGCTTGGAAATCAATTATTATTCATGTTCAAACTCTTCCTGAGTACCTATCATATACATACAAGACACTAGGCCTGACAAGCCTTAGTCTGTGTACTCTGAAGATAGAAATTATTTTGTTGAACATCTTCTGTGTATCAGGTTTTCTGCTTTACATATGCTCACTTACTAACCATTAAGACAAACTACAAGAGTAGCGATTTCTCTTCACAAGTGAGAAAACTGTAGCTCATTGACTCACACATGGAGAAATGAGAACAATTAATTCTTACTTAAGTCTTTATGACTGCAAAGCTTATACTGGTTCTCAAATTCCATTCCAGCACATGGCCGTTTATTATGTTTGTCTAGATGGGTCATGTGTGTACAGTTTCACAAAACTTTAGACAAGAGAGAGATCCTTTTAAGCTGCTTTAAGGAATATATTTCAGGGGCCAGGACTGTGGCCTAGCAGATAAAGCCCCTACCTGCAGTGCCAGCATCCGATATGGGCGCCGGTTCAAGTCCCAGCTGCTCCACTCTGATCCAGGTCTCTGCTATGGCCTGGGAAAGAAGTGGAAGATGGCCCAAGTCCTTGGGTCCCTGCACCAATGTGGGAAAACCCAGAAGAAGCTCCTGGCTCCTGGCTTCAGATTGGCACAGCTTCTGCCATTGCAGCCAATTGGAGAGTGAACCAGCAGATGGAAGACCTCTCTCTCTCTCTCTCTGCCTCTCCTTTCTCTCTGTGTGTAACTCTGACTTTCAAATAAATAAATAAATAAATAAATATTTTTAAAAAAGAAATATAATTCAAGAACTTAGGATTCTTGCATCTTTATGTTCTTTCACATATGCTCTCTCTTTATCTTAACAGTTACATGTATCTTCAGCTGTACTGTCTTGCTAAAATGTCAAGGGTACACAATTAATTGCATGTTCCAGATTTATACCTTGGTAGCATATGCACTGTCTTCAGATGATTTACCTAATTTACCAGACTAAAATTTTTGCTCTTTTTCCAAATGTAGGTAAAGCCTGACCTCTCAAAAAAACCTATAAATATCCTTTAGCAAAACTCAGTACAGATTGAGCATCCCATAAAATTAAAAATCCAAAATGCCAAGCTTCAACCTTTTGGGTACCAGTGGAAAATAACATACCTGATCCCATGTGACTGGTCAAGATGCAGATGCACTAAAAAGTATTATATAAAATTACCATAAGGTTTTGTATATTAGGTATGTATGAAACAATAGTGACTTAACAATGGTTAGACTTGGACCTCATCCTCAAGATAACACATTAAGTGCATGCAAATACTACAAAACCAAAAAAAAATTCTAATTCTAAAACACTTCTTCCTGACTCCAAGCATTGTCAGATGAGGGATAGCCTCAACCTGTGTATATACTCTTGCCACTAGCTTTTGAGGATGAGGCATAGAGGAAAGGAGGGAAGATCAGATTTGGCAGCTAACTATTACTTGGACTTGTCCATTGATTTGCTACCATAAAATGCAAATTTGGATAATATTGAGCACTCTACCCTTCCTCACTTGAGACACAATTAAAATTAGCTCTTAAAAGCCACATTGTGTTTATCTTAATTTAATCCAGTTTTATCTAAATTAATTTGACCCTTTTTTTCATGGGACAGCAGTGAATATGATTCAGCACAGTAGGCATTACAAACCAAGTACCAGGGAAAAGCTGATATTGTGCAATCTCTGAAGAAACTGAGACCCAGAAAGATTAGACAGTTTGCCTGTGGCCACCAAACTGGTTGAACACATAACCTGGATTAGAAGCGGTAACACTGCCTCCCTTCTTACTGGAAACCCTAACCCATACAATTACATTGAGAAATAAGAGTGGTTTTATTATTTTTATTATCTCCAGCATTTCAATATCCTTTAGAAAAATGGAGCATTGAATAGTCAAATGACTTTGGTCACAGGGAATTCCTTAGTAGCTGACTGCATTTTGCTATGTGTAACTGTTGAAGTGAATCAATAAAATGTGGAAAGGTATATTGATTTGGTCTTTGTCCATGATAAGGGAAAAAGTTGTAAGACTATTCTAGGGGCACGCTTTTGGCTTAATGTTGAAGACTATTCTGAAGGAAAAGCAAAGATCTCCCATTTTACTAATTTGTGTATTTACTTTTTCTTTCTAAAATCAGTTTCAACTAACATATGAATGCATGAAATTCAAAGGCATGAAAAAAAGAAAGGATACATATACAGAATTCAAGGCAAAAAACCAAATAAAGGAAGATAGATCAAAAAGTAATATTAGCATGTTGACAACAGATAATCCAGTACAGACGTCAGATGCATTTGATAGGTCTTTGTACATTTGCTCAACGTGAGCCTCAAATTTTGTGCTATCCTTCTCTTGGGCCAAAACAAAGGAAAATATGATAGCTTACAAGTTATACTTTTTTATAGCATTGGAAAAAGGCTAATCTTTCAGAAGATGCCCAGATTTTTCTAGCACTGTGACCATATAGCAGTATTTCCTGTAGTTCCTCTTCAAAGAGGAAGCTTTGTGATATAGTAAAAACTATCCCCAGCTATATCCAAAAGCTGCAATAGCAAGTAATTTATGATGCTTCCTTTAACCAATATAACTCTAGGAAAATGTATTAAATGTTATAAAAACCATTAATATAACACCAAGTAATGAACATAGTGGTAAAAGATAACTTCTGATTAGGATGGCCATAAGAAAGACTTCAAAGAGGGAGAAAGCTCTGGGGGAGTAGAGGGATTCTGATAGTTTAAGAGGAAGTAGAAGAGCATTTTGATTGAATTGATCAATAGATGCAAGAATGGTTGGATGGAGGGCAAAAGGCAGGGTACGGGCTGGACAATCATGAACAAAGGGACAAAGACACAGGGCTTACTCAGAAAATAGTATATGGACAAATTTAGAACATAGTTCAATAATTAGTGCTATGGTTATCAGAGGTGGGAAAGAATGTACTCAAAGCTATTGTCTTTTGCTAATAGAACCCTTAGGACAAAGGAAGTTACATATTTTGCCTGTGTACTCAGGCAAAAAGCCTCAGTGCTTCTTCATGTAGGAAAGTTAAGTAGTATTAAAGA